AAATTAATTTTAATGTTATTTCTAAATGACATACATTCAACGATCACTGCTTACTTGGGTGAAATTTTGTTTTGCTATGTTCCAAATGAAAACTGGCGGCCGAGCGGATAATATTTCTTTAACTCTGATAATTTAACCTGGATCCAATTCCGATGAACGGATTGACTGCATGAACTTTTCTTGTTCTCTCACATATAATTAGGGTATATCAGACAATTTCCTTTGAAGGCGCTCCACGATAGCCCCTTTCGCTTAGTTAGATAACACTTTCTTTAATCTTACAAATAAAAATAAAATTATATTCAAAATAAGAAAGCTAAACTTATGAGCGTTTCCTTTTATGAATAATTTTGATGACAAAATGAATTTTAATTGTGCGACGAATGAAATACAAATTTTTACTTAAGCAATTATTATGGAACATTTTCTAATTCAAAAAAGTTTCAAAACTTATTGATTTATCCGTTGTTATATGTTTGCGTCTATAATGTCATATCTATATCAATTCTTTCAGAAATTAGACACCCTGTAGGTTAATTGAATATGAAAAAACACACGAAGGCTGCCTACCTAAAGAAAAATATGCCTTCGTGGAGATCTTTCAGAGGAAATTGTCTCCTATTCACGTTTCACATGGGGGAAACAACGAAAATCGACCATGCGGCCAGCTCGATCGACTGACGTCGAACTAACAGCATTCAGCGGCCTTAACCACTCAGTTGCTAGTAGTGTTCAGAAAGTAATTAATTTTATATGAGAATTGTGTTTTGGAGGGAATTAAATTTAGATATTGAAATACTAAGCATGTATACAGGAATTCAGATGTGTACCCCTTTCTAGTTCCCTGAATTTAATCCTCAGTGCGAATCTTCATTAATATTCATCAACTCAGTACGAATCTTCATTCCCAGCTCATTACTCCCAAAGAAAGCAAGTATAAATAGCTTGAGATCTGAAAATTTCGCATAACAGTCTGATAACTCAAAGGTGATTTTAGCATTCTGAAAATGTAGATCATAAAAAAACTGAACAAATATTTCGCTATTCGACAAAGATGTTTACTTTCTGAAATATCAATGCGTTCCTGTATATGCAATTCTGCATTCAAAGAAAAAAAGGTGTAGCAATATAAATTATCGAACAGCTATGAAACAAAGTAATATCTTATATCGCTAAGTGATAAAACTAAATTTTTGTTACTGATTACATTAAAATTCAACAAGGATTTTATTTTCTAAAGCTGCAGGGTTTGCATCTGCATTTCTTTCTTGAACTATAAACTATGAAGCGGTTAAAAAAACTAAACATCTTATATGCCCTGATGTAAAGGCAGATCAACTCTGGGATCGCTATTTGCAACGCCACATGGAAGAAAAATAAATAAAATATTTCTTGATTCATGCATTATAAATTTTTAGTGCAGTACAAACGCAGTGACCAATTACTATTTCTTCAGAAATGAATATTACCAGAGGTGTGAAAGTAATAACACTCATTTTGGAATCCGGAAATGCCTTTTAGTAAAGTTATTAGTTTCTTTGTAGTAAATAAACTCTATTTAATTTGCTCTTCAACATCATCATAATAATTCTATTAAAAATGAAAATGTATATATTGTTTGCAGGAAATGTTTGAATATTTTAACTCACTGAATTTTCGATACGATGACAAGTGAATATATTTAACTCCGATTGCTTCGCTTATTTTTTAGTACATAATCTACGTGTAAGTTTAAAAAAACTATTTTAATCATAAAATAGAATACTTTTTAGAAAAAAATTTAATAGTTGTAGCATACATTTCATCTGAAGAAGATAAAATAATATTTTTTTTTTCCTGTTGGGAAAACTGTATTCATCTACTTGCAGTGTGAAAGCGATTAGTGCATCCAACGACTTCATATAACAGGTAGACGGCTCACCCACAGAGAATTCGTCTGCTAGGGTGTCTCCAACATATACCACGTGACTAATGCTCTTGGCGAGTGATAGCTTAGGCTGTTCATCGCCAGTTTGGCCCGCTTTTGATATGGCAGGTAATGCTTTTTTATTTCCGTCTGCTAGCAGTCAGCACATAACGGCCTCGAATTAGGTTGTTCGATTTTTTACAATTTTATTTAGATATAACTTAACCCCTTTTTCCTGAATATTTATATATATTTTTAATAATCGCTTTAAAAATTATTTGCACACCATTGTTTAAGATGTTTAGGTTAAATATTTTAGAAAGAAAATCTAAAATAATTAATAAAAATTGAGATGGAAACTTTAATTTTGAATAACGTTAAAAAATTTAATTGCACACTACTGTTATAATATTTGAGAAGGTAAAAAAATCTCGTTTAATTTTAATGCATTGCATCCTAAGAGAAAAAGAAAATCACATTGTATTATATGTATTTATGCCATTGATTGCCTCTTTTCTTGAGATTATATTACTGGAACAAAATAATGCACTCACTCCTCTTTTTCTTGAGATTATATACTGGACAAAATAATGCAATCTTAATTACTGATTTCCACACTCATTTGTATGTCATGGCGGGGATCAATACTTATTAACTATAAAACAAATATTTATATTGAATATGTATCAAACGTAACAAACTTCAACTCAGTTTTTTATTATTAGAATCAAAACGATATTACAGTTAAAATTCTCTCACTCTCCTTTTTTTTTTTAAATACATTTAAAATGTGGTAAGTTTTTCACTCACATTTTTCAATTACAATAAATTTCTAACAGCATTGTAGATGGACAGAATTATAATCCAGGTTATTTTTGTTTTAATTGATTTTATAGAAAATAATGATAAACATTGAGCTTTATAAAAGTAATCTGTTTTTAAAATAATGCTGTTTAACTGTTTATGTTCAATGTTGCATGAATCAAGATCTTCAGCTTTTTTTTTAACAAAGTAAACATATCGCACAATCTTTTCTCAATAATTTAATGCTAATAGCATTTTTCTTTTTTTATCGCAGGCAGTAATTGTTTATGAAATCAAAACGCGTACGACTTGGCGAAAAAAAGTTAACGCCAATTGGCGCAGCTTTCTATTTCAACGGAATACACGGAAAAAATAGTCACAGTATTTAATACATTTTGATGCTAATAATACATGCTGAAAATGCTGTCATATACGGCGGCAATTTTCTTATACAATATGGCTGAAACTTTCCAACCAATTCAACAGAGATAGTAAAATGACAAAAGTACTGAAAATAAAATAATAAATCATGCAGTTTTAACTTACCTATGAAAGGTTACAAGTCCTCCTTTCACGAAACTTTCTTTACATCCGTAGGCGCTGCAGCGAATAACCATTTTTACTTAAATTTTATGTGACCAAGCAGAGCAGCAGTCTTTCGTCCCATAGAAAGCAATGTAAAGTATTTCGGGACTTTCGGAATTCGCGCAGCAGTCACGTGACACTAATGTTGGAACCGGTTGAAGGTTGCAATACGCTCTCTACCAGTATACTATCTCGTTCAGTGCATCCCGCATTCTAGCGCCTAGGGCATTGGAACTGGATTGAAAGGAAATCATGACAATTTCCCTGCCTGCCCGACAAAAGAGCACTAATCACCTAGTCGTGAAGACTCGATTCGATAATTTTTCTCCCTTTGCATAACCGCTGAGCCAAGAGCCCCCACTGTTTTTCAAGACCACGCGAAAAGGTTAACTCACATTATACAGAGTAGTACATATTTATAATAATAAAGAGAAAGGAAATAGCTTATGTATCATCGATTGACAGCAGTTCAAATTTCTCGAAGATGTAATTTATTTTTAACCGAAAATCTCGAAGTTTCTTCCAAGAAATTTAAAAATGAAAATGGAAAATCAAAATAATTTGGAAATACCTCTTTTAGGTATTAAATTGAGAAACCTGTTTTAATATTTCCCACAGGATGTTTAATTTCAGAGATCTTATTAAATCATGCTTGTTTCTTATTTTCTACGTTACACTATGTTTCTGAATAAATTATGAAATAAAAGTATTTTAAGTCATATTTCTGGTGCTTTTTTAAAATTCGAACTAATATTTATGATGATGATGGAATTCATATTTCAAACAGCCTCACTCTTGGGATTTGTTGGATAATTATTACCTATCGTCATTTATTGGTTTTAATAGATTAGTATAACTGAAAAGCTTGAAAAAGTGTATCTTTTATCAATTGAATTAAAAATATTTTTAGTTGAGAGTATTCAAACTGAAAATTAATAACATTCGAATTAGCAAATATATTATAATTGAATTGACAAATAATTGCCTCTCAAAATACTCCAATGTCGATAACGATTCAATAAAACTCCAAGTTGTTTGATAAAACAAATTTTTAACACCATAAACTTAATACGTACATCTTTAAATATCACAAAGAGATGCTTTTTTTTAATCCCCCCAAAAAAGCATAACTTATTTTTAAAGGTAAACAAAATAAAATTAGCAATATCTTACTGTTGCCAGACCCTAAATACTAAAAATCGTACAGTTACAAATACGTCAAAATGAAATTCAGCACGCATCATTCAAAGGTAAAAATAAAATATAAACAAAATAATAATTTATGTTTGCAACTATTGAGATACAATTTTTCACATGACTGGTGTACCCAACAAAATGGAAATATTTCTATATCTATGTTGGATTGTACACAAATGCGCATTTATTATATCTCCGAGGAACTCAAGCGCAGCCCGCAAAAAGACGACGTAAAGGCTGCCAGGAGGGTCGGGCTGTTTCCGTCATATCATATTTCCGAGGAATTAAGGTATAGATACGGAAAGTATCAGATTTTATAATGGTTTCAAAGAAATATTACTCACTTCTAATGTATCAGTTAGTGCCATGCAATTATTCTGTTAATAAGTGAAATTATTCATTTAGTTTTCACTTCATCATCATTTATTTATTTTAGATAAAATAAATGAAATGAAAGGAAATGAAGCTGTACTGCTGAGTGAGCGCCATCTATAATTTTTCATTCGTCTACGGTATCAGGCAAGGGCAAAACGTGCAAAAAAAGATAAAGATTGTGTAATGTGCATGCTTGTGAAGTGGCTTTCTTAATGCAGATGCTAAAGCATCTTAGTTATTAAAACAGCTGGATGGTTTTGAAACGCCTAAAATTAAATGTTGTTTCTTAGAATTAAAAGCAGAAAGGAGGCTGTTCAATTCCAGCTAGCATCATTATTGGTGACGTCAACTGTCCCTAGCCAATCAAAACAAGCCAGTCTCTTCCTTCCACCCTTTTTTGCTGGCGCTACCCTACCCAGTTGAACGCTTTCGCGTTAGAACACATGCGTATCTCTGAGACGCTGAATAAGTTCGATTGAAGTACAGGAACTGGTATGTAGTCATTTCACATAATTTACTACTTTTACTTAAATATTTGGTAGTTTCGATTAAGCTAAATCTTAAGTTAGAAACTTCTGATCATTATTTAAGTTAAAGGATGAAAAGTGAATCTCTCGCAAATGCACCGGTAAAGTGTTCCCGCCATTAATATCAATTTGATCATTCTGCTGTAGTTTGTTGGTAAATTAGCCCTTGAAACGAGGACATTCGTAACTATTGTCCTCGTGAATGCTATATTTTAGGAAATAAAAGGATCTTCTTACCTGATTGTATACAGTACCGATCGAAATCCGCCATTAACTCACGAATGGTGGCGTTCGTTTGTCAGAGATAGCGCGAAACAGAAAAATGTCCACATGTTTTGTTTTGATTATTGAGTTATAAATATCAAAGATTCGGAAAGTAAGATTACTGAAAATTAATATCAACTTTAAGCATTCTGATATTATGCATATCAGTTATATTTCAATTTTGAGAACAGAAACAGTGACAATGAAAAAAAAAAAAAAAAAAAAAAAAAACAAAACAAAAAAAAAAAATTTAGATACAAACAGACTGGTTGACCTAATGTATTACCACTACATGTATTTTTTTTTTTTTTAAAGATTAAATTAATCTAAAAAATTAGCTAGCAGTATTTTCAAGCTATTACTTTTGAACTCCTATAGTGTACCTTCAAAAATGTTATTGTTTGCCTGCAAAGAAGTATGTGTCTGCCAAAAATATTTGAAAGAATCCGTACACATTGATATGTTTTTAACTTAAAAAAACATCCACGAATGTCACAATCTAGGCAACGATGATCTACGAACTATTCATACCTCACTTTATAAATTAACAAACACAATAAATTTCAAAGAATACATGTACACAGCATCCTGTTTAAACTTAAGAAAAAATCTTGTATTGCACATCTAGGGAAACAAACGAATCTACGAACTATGCCCACCTCACTTTATAAATTACATAACAACAATAAATTTCAAAATATCATGTACACAGCATTCTATTTCAACTTAAAAAAAATCTACGAATTGCGCAATCTAGATGCTACAGACTAATCAAGAAAATAAGCTAAAATAAATTTCAAACGATTCCAGAAAACAACAATAACGACAGAAATTCATACTAAAAAAACAATGAACATAACATTCTACAAAATAAGAACAAGAATAAAATAAAATGCACTTATTAATGCTCTTTCCACACCTCCAAATACCCACTGCCCCTCAACAGGATGGCGACAATGATATTTCCTTTTGCTGAACTTCAATTCAACAACTTCCACCATTTTATTTTTTCTCTCTATCTTTGCAAACCAACGAGCTCCAGCGAAAGATTTTTCAACATCAACAGGGTTGCCATACAACACGCAATCGTGCCAAAAACCAGCGCAGAACCCATATCGCCACATTTGGTGAAATTAGGGCATATATCAGAGTTGTACCTTTCTTTCATATGAAACAAATATAAATTCCATGTTAGGAAAAGTTTTTTAGACTTTCTGGAATATGAAAAAATTTTATGTAAACATCACATGATTGACTTCCTTGTATGATCTCTTAAATGGTACATTTTTTTTTTTTTTTTTTCTGTAGCAAGAACTTGATATTAAATACTGTTATTTACAACAGTAAACTGGTATAAAGTAGTGTTTGACTAACTACATATGTAATATGTTATATTGTATGTAGTTAGATTTTTTTTGCCAAAAGTAATTTTTTTTTAAAAATGCTGCTTCATTGATGACTATTCTTAAAAGTATATATATATATCTGATCCTTACTTGGGAAAAAAAAAAGCACTTTCACTTAATTTGGTTATTTTTAATTGATAGTGGATTGGTTTGTTCCCCTTGACAAGTCAATTAATCTATGGTCAGTAACAATGGCTACCTTTTTAGTACTTTAAATTTTACTTTTTAACTTTACTATTTGGAAATTTTTTTGGTTTAAAATAATATTTCTCTACATAAATAATACAAAATAATATTTCTAGCTTATTAAAAGATTTCTATTGTAATAAATTTAATCTTTCTATTGTAGTTGTAATCTAAATAACTTAAAATACTGACTCAAATTTATTCCGATAATTCATCACATTAATTAAATTTATGTTCCTTGGAGATTATATGTAAAAAAATTTTCCTAATATATGTTTTAAATCCTAATATTTCTTAATATATGTTTGGTACTGCTGATTGCAATAAAAAAAAGGAGGTGCACAACTAGATGCCTTAACAAGTGTCGTAGACAAAATTTCAACATTCTGCGGCTAATCATTTTTAAGTTACGCAAAATATATAGATACGTACAGACGTCATGTAAAAGTTCCTTTTGAATTTATTTTAAATCCATTTTGCAAGCTGTTGTGTGAAAAAGTGTTCTTTATTCTGTCCATATGTATAAAAAGAAGAGGCACAACTAGATGCCATAACAATCTCATAGACAAAATTTCAACATTCTACGGCTAATCATTTTTGAGTTACGCAAAATACATACATACGTATGGACGTCGCTTAAAAGTTCCTTTTGAATTTATATTAAATCCATTTACAAACTGTTGTGGGGGAAAACATCCTTTATTCTGTTTATACGTACAAAAGTCACTCAAAAACTCATCTAAATAGATTCGGGAGCAATCAGAATAGATATTTCAGCTGAAATATACCTGAAATTTATCTGACTATCACAGGGCAAGACAGTTTTATCAATAAATAATGGGGAATTTACATATGTATGTAGGCTCCTTCATTGTAGCCACCATATTTTAAATACACATAATCTCCACCTGAATATATGCACCTTTAAAAACCAAATTTTTAATTTTTAATATGTTTATGTATTTAATATTTTGTGCAAATTTAAGGACCTTTTGGTTAAAAATTCAGCGATATAAAAACTTTATGTTGCCCATAGCAAAGCATAAGTTATTTAAGTTGTATATTTAATCAGAAAACTGAGCGATAAAAAGAGGTAATGCTACTTGGTAAAATGCAATATACAGTACAAAGTCCGTAATTCAGACGTCCATTATCCGGAATGATCTATAATCCGAACCTCAAAGCCACAAGCTTACGCATGCGCGTAAAGCGTTTACCCATGCACAGTTCCGATAGTGAAGAAAGTAACAGAGAGGTTATTGAATATGAAAAAGTTTCGATTGACAAGTTAGTCGGTATTCTCGACACAACAATTACAGGACTTGAACAGTGGAACTTTGGGAACTACTTTGATATGCGCCCTTAAGTTGCCAAATTTCTCGGGAAACATTTTTGGCGAGAAACTCCATGCTGCCATATTACTATCTAAATTTTTTGTCTAAATTTCGAACTTTAAGCCTAAAATGTCTCCAAAAACCACGTTTTGAACACACAATTTAAACTAAAAATCCGAATTAAAAACAAAAAATTTAGGTAGCAAAAACGTAAAGTTTCTAACCAAAAATAAATGACAAGAATCCATGTACACAGCGATATGTTTTAACTTTGAAAAAAAAAAATGTACGAATGGCACAATCTAGGCAACGAACAGATCTCCGAACTATGCCACACCTCGCTTTAATTTAATAATTAACATAAAACAATAAATTTCAAAGAATAACCATGTGAACAGCATCCCTGTTTAAACTTAAAAAAAAAAAAACAAAAAAAAAAAAAAAAAAAAAAAAAAAAAAAAAAAAACAAAAAAAAAAAAAAAAAAAAAACTGTGAATTGCACAATTTAGGCAACGAAAGAATCTACAAACTACTTGCACCTCGCTTTAATAAATTGGCATAACAATAAATTTCAAAGAATACCATGTACACAGTGTTCTGTTTCAACTTTAAAAAACATCTACGAATTTCACAATCTAGACACTATTCACTAATCAACAAAATAAACTAAAATAAATTTCAAACAATTAAAAAAAATAATGACAGAAATTCATACTAAAAAAACTATGAACATAACATTCTACAAAATAAGAACAAGAATAAAATAAAATGCACTTGCCATGAATTAATTTTCGACAGCAGAAATTTCATTCCTCACGCCACGTAATCACTATCGTATTTATATTACAGCCAGACACACTATCCAGAAAATCGTAGGGATTTATGATTATTTGTGATTTTATTCATTCACAAATAAATAAAATCACAAATAATCATAAATCCCTACTTCTATCATGCACAGCCACTAAAAATAATCTCGCAGACCCTCTTTCCACTCCTCCAAACACCCACTGCCCCTCAACAGGATGGCCACAATAATATTTCCTTTTGCCGAACTTCAATTCAACAACTTCCACCATTTAATCTTCCCCCCATCTTCTCGGACACATATGCGAACCAACGAGCTCCAGCGAAAGATTTTTCAATGTTAACAGGGTTGCCATACAACACGCAATCGTGCCAAAAACCAGCACAGAACACACATCGCCACATTTGGCGAAATTAGGGCGTATATCAGAGTTGTACCGAACTTTGTAACTCAACAAGAAATTATGTCTGTTTATAGAATTAAAGAGAAAGTATTAGTACAAAAAATCGAAGCATCTTAAACAACTTACATTGAAAGAAATGTTTATTAAAGTAAACAAATAAATAATAACCTTTTTTTGTAATATTTTATCCCCTTCATATCATAATTGCTCTTTCTTTCATAAATTATGGTTTCATATTTTGAATTGTATAATTTCTGCATGCCATCTTACCAAATTTAAATTGATGATCTATAATCCGGAATCGCCGAAGTCCCGCCGAGTCCGGATTACGGGCTTTGTACTGTATATGTTTTTTGCATTTAATCAAAAAACTTAGTGATTTAAAATTAAAGTGTTATTACTGCCCTAATTAAAATATCTATCTTCCATGTGTTAGTCTGTTGTTGTTCAGCAAAGCATAAGATACTTCCCCGCCCCCCAGTTTTTTTCTGTCATTAAATAACAAATTAAATGATTTAACACATTCATTCAAATTATTTTTAATTACTGGCTGGACCTGCAAAA